ACTACGTACTGGAATCTCCAGTAAGTACTGGAATCAACAAAAATAATGGTGTTAGGCACAGCATTTGAAGGAAGAATAGTGCGAGAAATGTGCATCAAGTTAGTTGATCGAGAAGTCTGTGAACAGTTCAAAGACAGACGTAAATGCCAAGTACTAGGGTCCATACCTAAGGGTAGCAACGTCATATGAAGGAATGTTCAGACTCCTCCGAAATTCAGCAGTCGTGGCACTTCTCCAACTAAGCATGGCTTCTTCATCGACAATCGTCGATCGGTCGAAGTATTGCGTTTCTTCGTGAGCACGATGGTTTCTTTGATGTAGTCTGTCACCAGGCGCGATCCTCAAGCGCGGATCCAAGCGAGAAAAACATTGGTGACACGTGTCCAGATCTCCACAACGGAATTCTCTCTAACGCTCTGTTCATTTCAGTTTGCGACAGGCAACTCCCAGGGAACTGGGAAAACAGCTACTGCCTCTACAACTTTGACTTCCACTTCTACAATTTTTCATTATTCAATTCCCGTTCATCGAAGAAATGAAGCCTCACCGCCGTCTCGGTGCCTCATTAAGCTCGAGTACATAGCGGTCTACGTATCATTTGTACGAGCACGTGTGTTTGAAGGAAGATTCTAGTTAGTTCCTCCAAAGGAGTCTTGTTGTTAGAACCCTCTAGTCTGCCTGGGTTTGGTCTTTGTACAAGAAACACACTGAAACGAAACAAAGACAAAACTCTTCGAGCACAAACTAAATATCCTGTTGCTTCCTCTTCCCTTCAACCCTTCACATAAAAAAAGTCGCGTGATCGGCGTGTGCGCGGAGTTGTGATTCGTTCACATCCCTACGCCTCTTCAGCTTCACCTACAACGCACCTACGTGGAGGCATTTTAATTTCTCGGATGTGTTATCTTTCCCTTTGTCTAGTAATGCCGAGAAAGTTTTCATGACCTAATTGCAGATGTCAAATTCTCTGTGCACAACGAAAATTAATGATGCTTTTCACTTGCGACAATCCTTTAGAATTTTGCAACTATTTCTGTGTGATTCTCATTCATAATTGATATATAGAGAAGGAAACCTTTCCACGGCGCTTCTTCTCCCAGTAAAGAGCCTAGGCTTAGAGTGCCTACGGTCAGAGCGGCGAGTCACGCTTGCCGACTGGACAGTCTCTACGTGACTCTCACTGTCTGCTCTCTGAGCCCCTTGGCAGGAGAACAGACTCAGAGATGGTGTGAAGCGGCTCCACCCCCCCCCCCCCTTGTCCCCCATCCCATCCCATTGTTATCTTTCTGCAGTCTAGCTCTCAATCTCTCAGACTATCCCAACCAACTATCTCACGTTTCGTGGGTTCACCATGGTTACGAAGCCTATTGCTCTCAAAGTTGCAGTTTCCGAGCGTCCTCCTCAGTTCCCCCCCCCTCCTGTCACACAATAGTCATGTTTTGCACCGTTATTTTCTTTTATTATTTCTAGATGGCGATAGCATTGCATGGACGCGAGGAACGATTAACTGAGCTGGAGGCGCAAGTATCCTTTTGCTGGCATAAACCACGCCGACCCGGATGGATAACTCGTCTTGAGGCTGCCAGATCCTTATATAGGCTGTTCTCCATGAGTTTTTTTTTTCGCTTTTCCCTCCCCAAGAGGGCCTTTTAGCGACTGTAAGGACCCACTATCCCACATAATACAGTCGCGAGGTTGGCCCTCAAGAGGGTCAGGCAATGCAAGGCGGCCATGCGGACAGCCCTTGTCCAGTTGAAAGTTTCACAGCAGTGTCTGCAGTAGTACGAACGAATCTACTGAGAAATTCCAGAAATCAACTGTAGGAGGTACTGAGCCTCCGGAACTAAAGGGAAGAGATAGGCTTGGATTCTAAAAGAGAGTGGAGAAAAGTTCGAAGAGAATCTTGCTGACTCAAGGCCGGGCAGAAGGAGCCTTAGAAAGAAAACCGAAGACTTTTTTCCAAAAGAAAACTTCTCGTAAAGACATGATGATTGACGCCCTAAGTTAAGAAGCCAACTTAGTTGGAAAAGAAAAAAGACGCTTTCGTAAATTATTCGTTTATTTGGAAACTAGATGGGAATGAATTGCAGCTGCAAGACGCTTGTATATGACATTCGGAAATGGACCGTGTGAACAGATATCCGGACGCAATAGCCCAAATTTGTAGTCAGCAGACTTTGTGAGTCTGTAAGAAATCGCTTGCGTGGCGCACTCCGAGGAAATCTGTTGATTCCATCTTTCTGAGGTTATACCCTTCTTTCCTTTGTTTCGCTTTTTTTGCAAAATATGTTCAGTGGATTCTCTTATCGTCCAGCTGTCGTAACCAGTAAACTTATATTTCTTTTACAAGACATTATTTACAGTTCTCTAGAGCTACTTACTTTAAACACATTGTCCTCTTGATTGAGACCATTTATTCCATTACAATTATAAATTTACTTAATGTCTCCACTGATCGATCTACTAATTTTGATTATCACTCTGATCTGCGATCTGAAGGCGGGAATCGTTGCCCCCACCGTCGACAAGGGGGTCTATCCCTGACAACGTTCAGTTTTTTCTAGCCCATACTCACCCTGATGACGGTTTCGGCCGCTTTACTTTCTCTACTTGTACTACGTGTTGCTCAGGTACGTGAGTCTCAACTACTTATGCCCTCTTTAATCGATTAATGCTTAACACTTAATCTACCCTTGAACTTCCATTTTTTTCTTTCATTATTGATCTAAGTATCGATTGCAAAAAAACATGAATGCATGCTAGGAAGCGATGTGGATTTAATATTATCGTGCATCACACTGTAATGAGTCGCATCATAGTTATTACAGTCTCGAGTTGGACTGGATGACCTACATATAGCAGCAGAGATGTTTCCATGTGATTTATCCTTTCGGAGGATGATTTCCCGCATTCGTAGTACACACCTACAGGAAAGATTTACCATTCACTTAAAGGTGCTATTATCAGAAATGTATTTTGGTAGGTTCCAAGATCACGCTGTGAATGGGCATCGATTCGTGGTTACGGTAGAATCGGTCCTCACCTCCACATGGGTCATTTCCTAGATGACGGTAGAATCTTTGAAATCCGCTAGAAAGGTTGAACTTACCTGAGGGCAAAAATAGTTTGATCGTCTCTGAGACGTCTGTCCCCATTTTGTCGAAAAAGGAGGAATAAAAGAAATTGAAGCTATCTGCTCACCCTCTAAGAGCTTCTGTTTCATTCCGCCCACAACTGCCCAGCACGGACGGGCTTATCCAAAGGTTTCGCGATTGCTGTTGTGATGCAGAGAGATTAAGTCTCACGTGGGTTCAACCTCCTCTGCTTCCTTTTAACAGGACACTTTTCGCGTCGTCTCAATGGAGGATAAGCGCAGCCGGCAAGTTCACACACTCAGGTTGTCGCGGGTATAAGGAACTCATACCCCTCTTTTTCGACTGGGACCCAGCATTGATTTCCTAGCTAGTGCCTTAAATGAGACTCGTCAATGCAGAAAGGGCACTGTATAGAAAAAATTCTCTTACCCGTGCGCACTTGCGCTACTGACGTTAGCAGAAATAAGTAATGCCCTTCCATCTTGTACTTTCAACAGCTTCAGAGAGGGATGAGAGGTAGATACTTCCTTCCTCACTTTTTCTGAGAACTGGAAAATCAGGGGATGGAGCAGACTCACCGTTGTTTATCTATGTCTCAGCAACTCTTTCGTTTTCAGGAAGATTCTTAACGATTTGCGCTTCCCATTCCTTTTTTTGATAGACGATCGTCAGGATTACTTATGCACCCATCCCCATCCTCCCCCCCGCCTAATCGTAGACCTGTCACACATACTTTCATGCATGGCGTTCACTCATCACTGAAAGATCTTGATACTTTGATTGGGTTTCAATGAGATCGTATGCATCCACAAACTGTTGGGTGAATCCCGAATACCGCGCAATGAATGAACAGTCTTCATTCACTCCTTCCATTAGTTGCCAGCATACTGCCAGATTAATAATCAGAAGGTGGTGGCGTTTAGGGGGGGGGGGAGGCAAAACAACTGCAATACCTTAGCATAGCGTACACTTAAGGCTGATATCCTTGCCTAATCTCAGCGTTCAGACTTCGCGACGCGCAGCGCGCGTCAGTCGCCGCTTCGACAGCGAGATCGATGCAGTCCGAGACATTCCGCATTCGATCGCGCCGAACGCGCGACCGAAGCGCTGCCGTCGCGAAGTCTGAACGCTGCCTAAGAGCGACCCCTGCAACTTTGCTACCAACCTCGCGGAAAGGTGAATACGTCCATGTACGGCCATCAAAACCCCTGTAGGTCATGAGCTCTATGAGGTTCCATGCCTGACTCAGACCTGGGCAGCTGCGCATTTTTCACGTTGAGTCACTTGTGTGCAGGCCTTGATTTCTCTTGCTTCGGTGGTAGAAGACACCAGCTGTCCAGCTTTGAGAGCACGATTCGATTTTTGATGAACATGAACGCGTGCCCCAAGTTTCAATCACGTTCGTTCGCCAGGTTCCAAAGTGTCAATATTGAAGGGACGGCCCGAGAATGGTCGCACAATACTGATCTTCACCTCGTCAGGTGCCGCGCAACACGCGATAGCTACGCGTAGTTTTGTTTGCGGGTAGTCGACAGATGTCAGAAGTTGGAGAGTGATAGGGAAGTTAGGAAGGGCGAACTGCTGATTAAGGCACGTCGTGGGATTGACAGGTACGTGCAACCGCACTGTACCTACCTACACCAACCGTACATTAAATTGCATTACACTGTTTCGCTGCGGGCCGTTGGGGCGTGTCGGCATTTATGAGTGTTCACACTCATATCATAGCCTGACACGCCCAACGTCAAACGGTTCATCCCTTTCTTATTCCTCAGCTGTGTGACAATGGGAAGATATGACACCAGTTATTCTAGGGTTAGCGTACAGAGATGTCAGATTTCTAGGCCATTTAAATAGGTAGGCCAGGTAGGTTTTACACCTCAGCCTTCAAACACTCGCATGTCTTTGTTCATAATTGTTCGCAGCAATTCTTTAACGAAGATTTTCCTTCAGACATTTCCATTAACCTGCAATAACTCCACGCAATTTGACTGTCAAACGCCTTCCGATACCCAGCGATGTATACCACTCGAGTGGTTGTGTGATGGATTAAAGGACTGCACAAACGGCCTGGTGAGAACCGCACGCTAATTCGCGTAGTCTTTTCATCTAAGCCATAGCCGAGTAGTGTTTTTTTTTTCAGGACGAATCGCACTGCTCTTACCTGCACACTTGTCCTGAGGGCGATTTCATCTGTCGTTCTTTGCTATTGGACTGCGTTTCCATGTCATTTTAATGCGGATTGTCGGTGAAGTAGACTGTCCGGGAGGCGAAAGATGAAAATGGTTGCGAATTCCTCTCAGCCTTCGTGCCTTCGGCCAGGTGGGTGAGCGGATTTCTTCATGATGTCAGGATGAAAAATCGCCGCGAAATCGTATTATGTGGCTGCGATGGCAAGCATTATTCAGGGAAAATCAGCCGATCAGCGTTCCCATAAAGAGCTTGGCGGGCCTTTCTTGACTACACTAATACCTCGCTGAAAACATAAGGCTGCGTATATACTCTGCGGGCGTGTCCACCCAGGAACAGCAGCGAGTGGAGAGCATGGACGGCTATCAGAGAGGTAGAGCAATGGTCTAGGGTTATTTATGGGTAGCAGACTGCTGCTGTGAGAAGCATGGGCATAGTTACTGCCGCAACTGCTGGGTAAAAGATACGGTGAGTTAGATTTAGGTTACTTGTTTAGCTTAGTTAAGATATGCGGGAGTCAGATCGGGTAGCAGACTGCTGCTGGGACACATGGAGATAGTACTGCAGCACTGCCTGGGGTAAGACTACGCGTTGGTTAGATTAGCGTTACTTTGTTTAGTTAGTTAAGTATGGCGGAGTTAGATGGGGGGGGGCTAGCCGACTGTTGGTTAGAGAATATGGGGAGAGGGGGGGATGGATTATTAGACTGCTGGTAAAGAGTATGGCCGTTAGGAGAGTACCAACTGTTTTGCTACCACTCCTTATTGCCGCATACTCTCATCTCCTATTCGCTGCTGGTCGCTGCGTGGACGCTATAATCGGTACTCTATTCCCCTAGTCTTTCGACGCTGCTGTCATGGTGAACGCTAATGGTCACTGGGTCGACTTTACTTGAATCCTATACTTTTCTAGGTCGCTGACGCTTCTGGACGTTCAGAACGATAGTGGTCGCTGCATGGACGCTTGCTGCAGCTGATTGGACGCTACGCAACGTATGAAGCAGCCTAAATCAGAAGGGTAAAACACTTCAGCGTTCCATCGTTGTTGCCCACGTTAATCACCACATCTGTGAAGTTCCGGTGTCAGTACAGCATTTCAAAAAGGTCTGTACGCACCAACATTCATAACTTCAGTTGGCCCCAAAGCGGGATGGAGGCGCAGGCTCATCTAACTTTATCAGGATTGATCTTGCGGATATTGTTCGGGATACTGGACGCCATACTCTCCCCCTTTTTCCGTGAGGGTGTGAGAACGCGTTCATATCTTCGTGTTTGAAAGGAGAGACGGGCAAGAGAAACGTGAGTTGCCGCTTCGCCGCGCGCGGCAGTGGGCGCGACATCTCTTCAACTTGCGCTACCCTCAAGACTGGAGCATCGGATTTCACGTAGACAAGGACATTGTTGACAATTATGTCCATTTTTGGTCGTACATTGCCTAACTCAACCATACATCTAAATGCGCGTCGGCGCGGTCGCAACGTTCGCACGCGGACGCCACTGGGCGGCAAATTACGATTCTCTTGACATGATACCCGCTGGAAAAATAGGCTTGAGAATTTTTTACTAGTGAGCAGGTCAATAGCGAACACCATTGACTTCATGCAATCTCAAAAAACTAAGAATTCCAGGAATTCGCGTTTGCAAGGATATAGGTCACCAGCATCGGGTCTCCTCCTCAATCTAACAGTCCATTTTCAGTGTTTAATCTTGCCGCGAACACATTGTTCCAGTGTCAACATGCGCTCTTGTTCAAGCCGGCGTATATTTGTCGATGGAGAAAGGTTGTGCTTGTATTGCTTTTGCTTCAACTTCTCGATTGTGAGAGTTATCCTTACAGGATTGTCCTCTGCGAAGACCGAAGCGACTCGTACTCAAGACGGCCGGAAACTCCAGGGATAGGTCGGCTGAATGCGAACCCGGCTTGGTAATGTGTGCTGACCACACAGCATGCTTTCCAAAGCACTGGATATGTGATGGAGAGGCTGACTGTCTCGATGGAAGTGATGAGGTGAGACAAATGGCTCCTTCACTCTGATTCCGTTTCGATTTAACTTTGTAAAAAACAATGTTCTCGAGTAAGCCCGTGGGGTGTTGGCGGCCCGTATATGATTCGTAGATTGTTTATAGAAGATACCAACTCAAGAGAAAATATACTCTGAGCGCGCCTCATTACTGAAACTTTATGTCCTTGAAATAGGACTTGTTTTCGCGAGCATCGCGGTGGAATGAAGACCACAGACAAGACAGACACACAAGCTCGTTGATGGCATATGCCAACACAGGGACAGAAAGTGATCGCAATGCCACGATTCAGGCCGCGACCTCGGTTGGGCTTTTGTCCAGCATGGCGGGGTGTTCTCTGACTATCGCAAGTACTCTAACACTCTTGCCAATACATTTTTGAGCAGCGAGTAGTACACAGAGAGTTTGGCTAAGGGGTGAGAATTTCGCACTTTCACTGATTCCCATTGTCGTATTGAGCCATCAAGTAGAGATTGTAAAACATGGTGACCCATGAAGTGAAACCAGTCGAAGTTGGTAGAAACTACCTTAAAGGCACGGTTCGCGATCAGGTATAGAAGTTGAAAATATGTCGGGAGGGTATGGCGACGAACAAACCTCGTGTACCGGTTTTGGCGCACAAAAAATTGTGAGGGGCGCCATAGTGCAGTATAGGTCCAGTGAGCGCGCTTGTTGCAGCTGACTCTCCTCTAGACTCCGCCCTTAAGTCAGTAATAACGAGCAGTTGGACGAAAGATGAAAACTCGTTCACTTATACGTGTAGTAGAGTTCTTATCGGGGAATCAGCTGTGCGGATGAGGGCCCAATGTTGAAGATGGAGTTAAATGGGCACATACAAAATGGGATCGCAATGGGGTTCTTCGTGCCCGGCAGTTAATAGTGTTTTTCTGGTTATTTTTTCTTCTTTTGCTATCCGGTCATGTGTGTAGGTGCGAATCCTAATCCACTATTCTGTGATGGCAATGATCGCAGGCCTTTGGCCTTCAAAGTCCCGCGTAATAGTGATGAGCTCCTATGAAGCGAGAAAATCAACTTCAAAATAAATATTTTCTCAGTCCAAAACAACCCTCCGTTATTGGGCATTCCCAACAAACGATCGTGATGGACTGTGACCCTTCCCCCTCCTCCCGTCGAACAAAATCTGCGGCGGTGGATCTGTGCTCCTTATACAGAGATTCCACTTCTCATGTATTCTCGAAATGTGTCTCTCAATGCATATACTCTAGTTCGCTGCGCATGAAGGGGCGTGTCAGGCAGTATAAGTGTGCCACGGTGCCGAAACTGTTGTCTGCCAGTTGTTGAATACGCGCTTGGTGGCGATGGCATATTGGTAGAAAAAGACTGATACGAACGATATGATAGTCTTACCACTTGCTCGCTTCAATAACTGATGGAGAACGAGTGCGGCACCGCGCCAAACTCATCCCGCCTGGCACGCCTCTTCTTCCGCAGCGAACTAGACTATACCTGGTGCGTGTGATCCATCAAGATGTGTCACAGCAAATATTCCAGAGCGACTGCGCAATGTCTAAAGAGAATTTCCTTGCTGAAGCCATCACAGAACTCTGCCATCCAGGCGAGCATCGATGCAGTGGAGGTGAGACCGAAAGGAAGGGTCAAGGTATTGTTCTTTGAGCAGTTTCTCGGTTTTCAGCATCGAAATGTATTCCTGTCAATCGCACCTGTGATGGTACTCTTGACTGCCCGGAGGGTGATGATGAGGGACCATTATGCAAAGAGTGCGAAGTAAGACGAACGCCGTGCGAGTATCAATGCGTCAACACACCTCTAGGTAAGTGGCCAAGGTAGTCTCATGACAGCTTTTCCAGTTGTATGGTTGATATCGTCGCAGTCAGTTGGGGGGGGGGGTGTCAGGAGGGAAGGAGTGAGCCCGCCGCCAGCTACGATCTCTACGGCTTGTGATCGATTAGTGTTCGGTTCAGAAGGAAAACAACCAGAGTTAAAAAAAATGTTGCGAGTGCTGACACCGCCTCAACTGACTGCGACGAGACATCAACTGTGTGTCCAACTTGGCGTGCGCCATCATCGCATAAATCCGTTACATGCACTCCATATCCCGGAGTTGGAGTAGGTGTGTCCGCGTACTTCATTTCAACGTACCAGCGGTCGTGCTTTTGGCGAAAGATTGCCGTTTCAGGACAGTTGTGATCATGTCTTTGTCCAGCACAGGACAGGATGACAGCTGTCCCAAATGGAATTATCCCACAAGGAATGCATCCGTTGTTCTAGTCAAAAAACGGGCACGTCCTCCCCAACTCCTGGATATGGAGCGTACCTTCCAATGCTATATCCTTCTTACAGAGCAGAGACGATCAGCGCATTATTTTTTTTACAACCTTTCCAGGCTTGCGAGAAAGTAATTTATTTTCGGTTCTCGCTGCATTTGTCCCCATGGCTCCGCTCTGAATCCGGACGAGTACACGTGTGCACAGAAGGACGAATGTTCTACGCCAGAAGGCAAGCAATGCCAACACTATTGTGAAGATCAGCATGCTTCGTGGGTTTTTTTTTCTATTGTTGAGTCTTAAAGGCAATTGGCACGATAAATTCCTAAGACGAGTAGTATTAAGACGCTTGACAGAATGGAATTCTGCACCCCTAAGCAGGCCTTCGTAGCGTCCTTTTCAAGGGAGGTACCCTTATAATGCCCTCAAGCTGCAACATACCGACCGGGACGCCTACCGTGTCCGCCCATCCGAAAACGGACGACCGTACCTGATGCTCGTATTGCTTCGTTTGCGAAGTACAATAAGAAAAGGGATTGACGTGAAGCGGACGTGGTACTGCATGGATACATATATCCGTATGGGTAACTAGGTGCAGCCGTACCTACCGTAGACTGGGTTATTGGCCACAGATGCTACGGAAACTCGTTCCGGAAGTGCGCTTTTGAAGTGTATTAAGGAACGGAGGGCTTTTCTCGCTGTTTTTTTACCGTTTCCTTCGCTTTTTTATTCGCCTTTTCGCATTATACTAGAACCCTGATAGATCGAGTAACCCAAATTACTCGGAGCCATATTGAACATTAATCCGATCACTGTGGAATTGTAGAAGTCTGGCTGGCAAAGGTCTCATCCGCAAAAATCAGTGGTGCAATGGCAAGAGCGGTGTGGAGCCTGTAGCGAACGTTTCAATCTAATTCGCTACTGTCTGCCATAAAGTAACAGCTGAACGTTGGTATATTCGTGCTCACCTAGATACTCTCCCAATTTCCTTTCTCTGGTTTCTCTTTCTTTCCTCGCGCATTGTTGTTTCATGTTTTTATGCTGTGACAGTGTCCAGGATTCAGCCGCAGAAAGCGGACCTCACCCGCGGCGTTCCAAGTGGTTCTCTTTGCTGTTTTCCTGTTCCTTCAGTCAGAGAAGTTGCAGTTGCATAACACTGCCCTCGACTTCACAAAAGCGCCCGTTAAATACCTGCCTTGAACTGCGCGAAGTATGAGTCCGCTGCCGTAGACCTATTAACTCCATTGCGTACCTGCGTGCTGGCAACCATGTGCAGCAGGGCTTCATCGCTGGTATGGTCATCTGCTGGCAGTCATGGGCAGCACGATGATTCTTGTCGGCTCGCATCGGATATATTTTTGCATCCCTTTTCTGCTACAAAAGTTGCGAGCCCCTTATTTTTCGAACAGCGCAGAAAAGCACAAGTATGTGGAACTTCCATCGCTGAGGAAGCAGTTGGGTGTAGTTGAGACCGTCTTTCATAAATACCTTCAGTTGTGAATCTTCTTATTTATTTTCAACACTCATAAACACTCATAAAAGGATTGAAAAGACAGCCGGCGGAATGATGAAAATGTGGACACACTTAATGCAGGAAATATTGGTCGCAGATTGTACATCTTGGTGGGATTCACGTAGTAAGTTGTGTGGTTTCTAGCGTACGGATTTCGAGTCCCATTTGGAAGCAAATCGCCAAAAACTTCAGTAGTTCGCCTCGTCGAGACCAATCCAGTTTGAGTACTTTGCGATAGCATAACGATTGGTTTCTCTTACAAGCAAACCAATGAGATCATCTGTGAGAAATCGTCGGAAAAATTGTGGATTGTGGGTACTGGTAAGATAAGAACGATCTTCATCCAGATCATCACCGGAGAGCCGTGAATAGTCGAAAAAGTGTTCTGCCGTTGATATTTCCGGGTCATTGAGGGGGCCCTCCATTCGGTTTGTATGTTGAGGCCGTTCGTCGCTTGATTCACAATCGGACTCATCGTGAACAGGAAAAATAACTGTGAGCGAACTGAGAAGAAGAATGCGTAGTTGAGCGATCAGTACGCAATTCGGCGTTTACGGAGACGTCTCACCATTGTAGGTCGATCAGTTTAAAAAAAAAAGAATCAGTTAATGGTGGTGCGTGGCTTGTGGACGAGTTCTCCGGTCCGAGGGAGCGGCTGAACAGGCTCAGGGAGGTGTCAATTAGCGTCCAGCAGCGTCCCAGTTACGGTAGGACAGCTGCCAGCCACGCCATCCGACCGACACCCTCCTTGAAAGATTCCACGGGAAAACCATAATTTTATGGGTATCGAGGGCCTCTGTTCCATCACTTCGGTCTCACTTTCAATCGAAATTTCAGTGACAACACCGATCTATTCAAGGCGCGTCACATCTTGTTTGGGGATACCATAAATAAGGGGTTGGTTCCTCAAAAAATAGCCTGGAAGAAGCAAACATGACTACGTTGAGTTTATCAGTTTGTCTGCGGGGCGCGAAATTACGCTCTCTGGCGCTTTGGCGAGGGTTGCGAAATAGGCTCGGGCACAACGCGGAGGGGCAGCGAAAAAAGGCCGCGTTACGCAAGTGGGTTTACCAGGATCAAGGCAAGTTTTCAGGAAGTTGACGTAGAAAGAGGGCTAAATTGGCGTTCAAGCTTGTGAAAATACTGCGCTAGTGTATCTAATTGTTCAAACTGGTTTATCATTGATTCCCATGAAGTGCTACAGCATGTTAAGTGAACTACCGTCAGGAGAACGAGTACTAACTTGCAGTGAGCCAAGCGCGATCAGTCTTTTCGAACTTTGATAAGTACTGTACTCCGGAATGATCTTCACAATACAGATATCGTTGTACCTGTGCGCCGGGTTATCGACTCGGTCCTGATGGACACAGCTGTCGAGTCGATCGTGACAACGAAGGAACGCTGTTCATTGCTCTAGGTCATGAGGTATCTGGCCACCACGGTGATCCTCAGTTTTCTGACTAATAAGCGGTATCTAGGTGCGCACAATGCCGCTATTTGAGTCGAGAACATCTCATGAAGGCTATGAGACGGCACAGTCGCTCGGTTCACATGGGGTCGTCCGTTCCATTGACTTTGTCTGGAATCGACAACTTATCTACCTAGCTATTACCGGTTCCGATCAAAAGGGTGAAGTGGTGAGTGTTTCAGCGATCTTCTCCACAGTTGCAACGATGAGAAGCTCTGAATATGTTGCAGGCGGTATCGGTTGGAGGTTTGTTGCGAGTGGTTCGCGAGAATATTGTCGGCGTGGGACAAGTGGCTGTGGACTGGATGGGCAGCAACTTCTTCGTCACACAACGATGTATGTTTTCTACTCCTAATGGAGATTTTTCAAAAGAATCATTTGATCCACTAAAAAAAACTCCGAAGCAAAAGCAACACTCCAACTGTTAACTGCGATTCAAACTGACCCAGAAGGCAGAATGGATACACTGGCCATTCCATTTAGTCTAACAACACTGAGGAAAACCTAAGGCCGCGTTCATACTTTGCGGCAGCGTCCACCAACGACCATCGCCCGTCAACGTCAGCGACTAAAAAGTGTAGATATTGATCTAGTGAACGGCAGCGTGTACCAGCGTCCAACAGCGTCCGCCATCGAACATCAGCGTCTTGAGGGACGAGGAAAGTTTCATCTCGATCTGCCGTCTTCCAGCGTCCACCAGCGACTACCAGCGTCCAGGGAAACGGTATTGTGTACAGTGCGGCTGCACACGCCATAATTTCGCGACACCTAATCCGGATGTCTCCTCCTCCTACTCCCCCATACTCCCTGTTCATAGTCTTGGTGGACGCTGGTAGACGCTGGAAGACCCTGCCGTTCGCTAGATCGATATCGATACTTTTCTAGTCGCTGACGCTGGCTGACCTCGAACGCTGATGGTAGCTGGTGGACGCTGCCGCAAAATATGGCAGCCTAAGAGTAAGGCCTTGTTCACAGCACCAATCCGCGATTCTCCCGATGCTATCTAACCAACCGGCTTTACCACGATTTCAGGAGATCTGATCGATTCTCCCAATTTCACGATTTTTGCAGTTCCGCGATCCTCTGATTCTCCGATTTAGTACATTTGCCGTCCATTCCGTGATTCAAAGGATATGAGGCTTCGTGTGTAGGAGCGACCTAGAAACACTGAAATGTTGCCATTCCGTAGGACGGGTTTTGAGAGAGAACCCTTGGATTTCATGTAAGACAAAGCTAGCTGTATGGGATTAGAGTATAAAAAAGCTTTCCTCGTTGAATCTCCTTTTAAGAAGCGGCGCGCACTTCACTTACATTTAGAACTGTAGTGTCCTATTGTACGCAAAGTATAATATGTTCTATACAATCCCTCGCGAGTGCCAACCGATGTACAAGTCAGTTTCTTATCCTCCCAGACAAATCTGGCACGAATTACCAGCTATGTAGGTCAGAAGGCTTGTTTGGTTTACGCAGAAGCCTGACTGGGATTTGACCCCGCACAGGTGCGCGTGATTGGCGGGCCACGTGCCTCTACACCACCTCCGATGCATTTTTATGTATCAGACAATGAATCACCGCACAAAGCTTGCACCGGTGAGCCGATCGCCGGCGATGGAGGATACCTTTGTTGTTTGCGAAATTCATTGTACATGTCATAGTGAACTCTTTGGACGATTCCGAGCAGAGGTGGTGCAGTGGCAACTCACTATCGGTACGTGCACGCTCGAGGAATCGAACTCCGGGTCGGCCTCTGTTTGAGCTAACCAAACCTTCCTTCCGGAGTCGTAATTTAGTACCAGACGTGTATGGGAGAATGAGAACAATAACTAGTTCATGAGCTGGCCCTGAAAGTCTTAGGCTGTATTACATTCGCGTGGTAACTCAATTAGGAATGAAAGTAGAGTGCATGGCGCATCCAGGAGAGGATGGTCAACGCCAAAAACTTCGCAGTTCTCGTACTTATCTGTTTTGCATTTTCGTTCCAAATTTCCGAAAAGGTAATGAAACTTGTTTACAGATCCGTCGCTCGCTCCAGGTATAAGTGTTTGCTCTCAGGATGGCTTCTTCTTGTCGACGAATTGTCAAAGGGCAAGCGGCTGATGCGAACGATCCCAGCAAACGACAACATTATCACGGTTCGTTTGTCTAGAAGCACTTGTATCGAGTTCGTAAAAATTATTGGGAACGATCCACTAGAGTTCTACATAACCCTGGCTCACGCTCTGCGTACAGTGTTGTTCGTTGCCGAATGAATGGGGCTGCTCAACGTGTAGCGTTTTGGGTTGGCGCGCCCCAGCTTCGTTCTTGCGATTGGCTGTTGAGGTGGGTAAGCGACAACAAATGGTCGAATGTGACAAATACGAAAGATATGATACAGTCTTGTCGGTCGCCGAACAACAAGAGGCTGGCGTTGGCGCCAAACTCATGACCGCCCAAGCAGCCGCCAGCGAAAACTGAAGAATACCAGCAGAAATGATGGTGATCTGCTCGCGAAGGGCTAGATCAGAAGTTGAATGATACTCTGATGCCATTTCAGGAATCGCGTTACATCCTCAGAGAGGTGCCATGGTATGGATCGAGTCGTACGCTAACCACAACCGCATAATGAGTGCTAACATGGACGGCACTAATGTACGAAGCATTATCCTCAAAATCCCTCTGGACCCCTAATGCTTGTTGAACAGAATTGTTCCATTCAGATTCGAGTACTTGTGGAGAATAAGCTTGAATACCCAAGTGGAATATCTATTGATCTGATCACTAGCGACGTTTACTTCGGTGATGTGGAACGGGCAATGATAGAACGCGTAAATCTGGACACTCGTGAGAGGTATCCTAGTGTTCTCGTGCTTTTCCCATAATAGCCGTACTTCGGAAGACTCAATTCCAGGACAGTGGTGCTAACTCAGGGCGTGCATCATCCTTATGATCTCAAATATTTCAACGGGTTTTTATACTGGAGCGATTGGTGAGCGATTTAGAAATTCAGCCCGCGATCAAGTGGTCCTTGGAACTCCTCTGTGCATTTGGCATCATTGTCCGCATTCGCAAAAGACTGTACCACTTTAGTCACTCGAAACGGCGAGATAGAAAAGCTAGAGACGCGTGATTTTTGCAACCATTGCAACCACGATTACTTTCACTCTGCAAGACAACAGCTTACAAGTGGGATTTCGTGTGTACGTAGCGTTGCCTGAAGCGTCGTAGGGCAATTTCCTATGCTCTTGCCGGGAATTGCTTGTACGTCGAATACTGCTGTTGTGGCTTGCCAACGACAGACGAACTCGTTCAAGGCGCCCACTGCTCAGGGGGGTTTCTATTTAGGGTGTCCCAAGATAGTTATATCGCTTCTTTCTCACTGGGGTGTTTCTTATGGGCTACTGGTTCACGATTGAGCACCTACTACTTGTAACACTTGTTCGCGAAATTGTCCTTTGATGTTGAAGTTTGTCGTGTTTCGCAACGAAATTGTCTTTGATGTTGAAGTTTGTCGTGGTTTTCCAACCAATGTGTTAAGGGCTTCTTCCTCGTTGAAAGTTGCTGAAATGAGCATTCATCACAGCTCCGCTCACCTCATTCATTCGTTCACCGCCTTACCCTTCGGACTTGCTATTAATCACTCAATGTATCAGGTACACTGTAACTGTAACTTCAATGTGAACATGATTGTGAACCAGGATCAAATTATACGTTTAAGGCAAACTTCGCACTTTTAGCCAACACCGTCGTCATTCCCTTGTCAGTCTAATGACTGCCAGTGGATGTGCGTTTCGATTCCGAATGCGGAAGGTGACCTACAGGCTAAATGTCTCTGTCCCGACGGTTATCTTACCATGCCGGAAGGCGATTGTGCGCCCGTACGCGATTCAGTTGCCGAAGACGACGATGGAGTGACGGACGCCGTTGAAGACAAAACCTTAACCCTCGTGAGTGAACTTACTGTAAGGAAAGTGGCATGATAAATCTCCAAGAGGTATAGGATTACCACACTCAGCAGGACGGAATTCGGCACCACGAGGCAGGTGCTGCGTGGCGCCCTTTTCCGCCTTATAACGCCCAATAAGGTTGCAACATGGCGACCCGGACGCCCACTGCGCCCGCCCGCCCACAAATGTCCGACCGATGCTGATGCTCGTATCGCTTCATTTGCGAAGTACAATATGAAGCGAAGGGATTGATATGAAGCGGCTGCGGTGCTGCATGGATATATGAGCACATACATGCAGCCGTATCTACCGTAGCGGTTATTGGCAAGATGCCTACGGGAAACTCGTCCGAAATTGCTTTCTGAGTCGTGTAGAACAGAAGGCTTTTTTCTAGGTTACCCGTTTCACTTCGCTTCTTTCGCCATTTGCCCACTATTTGGCACCCTTGCTACCATTTAGACAGAGTACCTAATTTTCGTGTCTCATGCCTTCAATAACACATTCCGCGATTGCCGGGTACATAAAAGTCCTTCTGTATTTTGACCTACCAAGTAATGGTGAGGCTCGCAGCCACCCATGCGTACCAGTTTGCGACTCAACAGTGCATGGTCAGAACGCCAAGAGCCCGTGGCTCAAAGACAAAATGCACGCTCACTTACGAGGTGCATCCTCGGCATGTGCGTGGTTAACAGGCCTCCAGCTGTCTAAGAATAGCGCTTTCACCGGCCGAACACCCGGAGATGAAGCTCCAGGGTCGTGGGAATAGGCTTATTCCTCCATACTCCGCGCAATAAGTGTTCAGAGACAACCTGTACACTCACCTTGCCATATGTACGGTAAATTGGTGCGCAACTGCCATAGCGTCTCTCTTCTGGCTGTTGTTTACCTTCAACTGTCGGTTTGCTGCGGGATTTTGGTATCGACGCAAACGCTGCACTCTGAAGATAGTGCAGGCAGAGTCGGGAGACGCCACAAGGACATCACTACCGTCCAGTCCATTATCGTGCTTTTTTGCGGACCCATTCACCTCGCACACGGGTAGGACCTTCATCGGAGGTGACTGTACAGTTCTCGACCTGCTCATTTTCAGGATATATCTCATGTGGGTGTGGCATGGATGAAGGAGCGTTGCGAGGCCGGAAGTGGCTGTCTGAATGGGGGCGAATGCCAAGATGTGAAGAACGAACACGGTCGTGTAACGAAGATTGTGTGCAGGTGTGGCTATCCCTTTCTGTGCCGTTTTACGATCCTTTTTCTATATTCATCCCTACAAATCATCACCTTCAGCTGTGTCTCACCATATGAAGGTGACCGATGTGAACGAACAAATCCCTTCAAAGAGTATGCCAATCAGCTCTCGCCATCGTCTCGGCCGTGTGGTTTACGCTGCTCTTCTGTGGCTTGTGTCTGTGCTGTTCATCGCTCTCACTGCCGCGTTTCCTGCTATCTATTTATCGCTAACTGTCGAGCAGTGATCAGGTACCTCTTCGAAGGTTCTTCTTTCGCTTTCAAGAAAGATCCTGTATCGGTTCGCGAAACATGCCACAGTTTCGAGGGGTCATCGCTCTTCAGCAAAAGCACCATGGAAAGTGGACAGGGGTCTGGTGGAAAACGAGTTAAGGGCAAGATACGTCCTCCAGTTTCCCTACACGCTTCACCCATGTCTTATAACTCCATTCTATTAAAGAGATGCGGTTATAGCTAAGCGTGCTTTATCCGGTTGGGCCCAGGTCACCCTTTTTTTCACTCAAAGTACATGGTTAATGGTGGAAACACGTACTTGCAGTCTCCCTAAGTTTATTACCACCAGGAAACTTCCACAGAATACCGGTTCCGTAGCGTATGCGCAAAAGTTCAGTAGATGCCTCTGTTCCAATGACACAAGCTTATCAGACGATGGGAGGGTTTAACGTTTCCAGGGTCTTCCAGCAGGTTCTTCCAGGAGACAGAGCAACCCACCAATGAGTAGTGCGACGGGAGGAATGAGCATTTTTTCTCTGAATATAGACACCTTCCGTGTGAAAGGCGTGCTATTTCCAAGACTAGGCACATACCCAGTATATCCCAGTTTTCAGCGGAAGAAATACGCCATGCGGTCAGTTCGCATTCTCTGGGATCCAAGTTACCTACACTAATAAGTTCGTGCCGTGATCGGAAGGCTATGCAAAAAAAAGAGAATAAAGGATATAAATCCAAGCACGTCTGTGATAATAATTACGATGGAGTTTTTATGTTTTATTTTTCTTTATAAGGATTGTCAAATAAAGTATTTATCGTTCAGTGGACATTTTTGCCCAGGTATTGATCAAACGATGTCATCTCTCATATCTATCTAGTACTGTCGCGACATCACTACGTGCCTATGATCGCGGGACCCGGGCGATTCTATCGTCGGCAAGTCAGGTCACGTCGCGCACATCGCGTCGCGGCGTCTCGCGCGCGGCGCGGTGCGACAATTCCGGAGTTGCATTACCGACATACAAATGAGTCTCGAAGACCGCGTATTCACAAGTTCCGAAAAGCACGACGCAGCAGGACTCGTACGCGGCGCCCACCAGCGCGGCGACCTACTTATCATCGACGATAGAATCGCCACACACCCTATAATCGCGGGTCAACGGTTGCTGGGAAATTACCTTTATTTACGCACTTCAGTTGATGCCGAACTGCCAATGCAAAGACGTTTAGCTGGTGCTGGCTTACTTAAAGGCGTTTGGCACTATAATTTGGTACTTGGACTAAAGTGCTAGCAAGGATAGATTGGAAAATGGCGAAAAAACGAAGTGAAACGGTCAAAACCTGCGAAGAAAAGCCTTCGTCCTTCATGATTCAAAAAGCAATTTCGGACGAGTTTCCCTAGGCATCTTATCAATAACCGCTACGGTAGTCGCTTGGCATTAGTCCCTTCGCTTCATATTTTACTTAGCAAATGAAGCAATACGAGCATCAGGTACGGTCGTCCATTTGTGGGCGGGCGGGCGTGGTGGGCGTTTGGGTCGGTATGTTGTAGCTTGATAGGGCCCTTATAAGGTACCTTCCTTGGAAAAGGTGCTTGCTCAGGGTCACGGAATCCCGTCCTGCTATGCGTATTAATCCTACTCGTCTTAGGGATTTATCGTGCCAACTGCCTCTAAGGAAAGCCTCTGGGAAGTGTACTCATGTACTCATGTACTCGTGAATACACAATGTACTTATGAACTGTAATGCACTCATGAAATTTTGGTGTCGGGAACGTCCAACTTCACGGTTCCCCTCGCATATGCCCTTCACTTTCACTGAGGAGAAACGTTCACCGAGTCCCAAGAATCGCCGCGCTTCTCTTCTCAAGAGTACGGCGCGGCATCCGGCATGTGTAGGTTCAGACGATCCATGCAGTGCCAGGACCGTCGTACATGAGGATCCCAGATATATCGTACTTGATGGCTGAAGGGGAGAGGGGGTAGTATTTGGTCGGGGAATGTGATTGGTTCGTTGTGGAAGGGGACGTCCCGCAGAAGAAAACTCGATAGGAAGGGGTAGGGGGAGGGGTCGCAGCCAGCTTCCCACCCTGTTCGGACGTGCTCATCGCGAAGTAGCTATTAATTCTCAGCTAAGACTCGCCAAATCGTAAGCGTTCCAAGACGAATCAAATGGGTCCTCGTGCGAGCGCAGCATACCTGATGCTGCTTACCATATACCGCCTTAGCCCTGTCGCAGCAGGGTTAATCTTTTGAATAGAATTCCTCTTCTTCAGAAGCGACGCAAATATCCGAATACCCGATAGTTAATGTTCACGCGTTTGTTCTTGCAAAAACACTTGTAGTGCTCAAAGCAACGTGGTGCATTACAGCGGAAAAGAAGTAGTTGGTATGTTCACTTAAAGACACATGGTACGATCACACAGTTTGGGTGTGCGTGACTATCAGCCCCCCAGCTGTCGAAGCGTAGCGGTTTCCCCGTCCTAACATGCGCAGGAATGGAGATACAGGACCGTGAAACACGCTAATTCCTCCATGCTCCGCCCGACTCCCGCCATGCTAACATCCGTCGCGTGCGCGCGTGTCGCGTGCGCTCTCTTGGCACTTTGCCAAGTCCTGTAATTGCGCTTTGGAATACAAGTAAAACGCAATTTCCTGATGCGGATAACATTTTAGGTGCTGCAAAATAAGAGCCGAAGATGATGACGAGGGCCAGAACTCAAGAGCAACTGTGATGCTTCTGCTATATCCTTCGGAGGCCGCGCATTCCCACAACACATGCAAATAAAAACGGCCTCAGCGTCCCTCTCGTTATTTCAAAGTATTATGTTGGCGGGAAAGTTATGTCCCATGTTTTAACACTTTCTTTTTACAGAGAGCGCATCAGATCAAACTAGCAGTCAGAAAGAGCAATGTCTGGACTACACCGGTGCAAGGGGAGAGCCATCCAGCTCTATTGCATGAAGTACGGCTCGAACTTTTTTTGACGGGTGTGCTGCACCAGCACGTTGAAGACGGGCTGGTGCGATGATTTCTGCCCCTTGCTATTGACGATTCGCTTCAGATCGTCGTAGCTGCCTTTGCGTTTACGAATTTTGCTCGAGAGGCAAGCTTCTCGATCCAGTACTTTCCACCGCACCGCTATCTAGAGCTCAGTTTACAGGTACTCCCGAACCACTTCGTCATTCGAACCGTAGGCTCCCGCTCTGAAGAGCTAGCGTCGTGGAAGATTGTCTGATGACTGTAGACATTGTCCTTGTGCAGCTCCATTATTTCGGCGTCGACAGCTGCCATGCTGTCAACGCCGAAATAATGGAGGCTGCACAAGGACAATGTCTACAGGCACCAGGGTGGTAGAAGAAATAGTTTAAGGAAGCGCTTAAAGGGGTCGGTGCTGAAGGTAGCGGATAACATTCTTGTCCATAATGCAGAATAAGGATGAGCAGGAGCCGAGCCAGTGACACTAATAGAAAGATCAATCCTTAATGTATAAATGCTCACATTACCGGTTAGCCTCTCTTCAGGTAACAGGCGAATACTTGGGCTCAAAAAAGTATGACAGAGCTTCGCCCGCCACTAGTACTTTCATGGCTTTGGGGCCGGATTCGCGCCGGATCGCAGAGCCTTACACGCGATTTTGATTAATATGCATTCCTTAATTGTTTCATTTTTTGTTTCATTTAACGTCACATGTCCGTATGTGGTTGTGTGGCATGTTTATGAGCCTTTGTCATCTTCATCACCTTCTGTTCGGACTTAGCAGCATGACCAACATCTCAAATGTTATCATCAGGAAAGTGCGTTTTGCTTGTATTAAACTAACGAGTGGGAGCTTAGGCCGTTTTTATTTTCACGTTATGGGAATGCGCGGCCTCCGAGGAATGTAGCAGAAGTAGCACAGTTGCTCTTGAGTTCTGGCCGTCGTCATCATCTTCGGTTCTTATTTTGCAGCACCTAAAATGTAATGAGCATCAAGGGAATCGCGTTTTACTTGTATTCCAAAGCGCAATTACAGGACTTGGCAAAGTGCCAAGAGAGCCGCACGCGACACGCGCGCACACGACGGATGTTAGCATGAACGGGAGTCTGCGCCGCAAAAAGGTATTGGGCGGAGCATGGAGGAATTAGCGTGTTTCACGGTCCTATATCTCCATTCCTGCGCATGTTAGCGAGGAACGCTTCGACAGCTGAGGGGCTGTTAGTCACGCACACCCAAGCTATGTGTGATCGTACCATGTGTCTTTAAAGGCAGTTGGTACGATAAATCCCTGAGACGAGTAGGATTGATACACCTGGCTGGACAGAATCCCGCAACCCTGAACAGGTGCTCCGTAGCTCTCTTTTCCGAAGATGGTACCCTCATAAGGGCCCTATTCGTGCTAGCATAATACCGACCGCACGCCAACCACGCGCGCCGCCACACAAATGGGAGGCATTCATGATCTCCTGTTGGCTGCATTCTGTCGCTGCCTGCAATGGATTACTAATGACTACATTACGTGCACCCGTACCTACCGTAGCGGTTGTTGGCAAGATACCTACGGGAAACGGGCCTCGTCCGAACCTTCTTGAAGTTGGAAAGGTGACGTCGGGAGAGTAGTATAGGTCGCGCGAAGAACAACCTGTATACCGTTTTGCGGCAAAAAAAATGCGTGCGGAGGGGGCGGCGCTATGGCGCAATATAGGCTCATTGACGACTCCTTTTGTCCAGTGACTCCGCCTTCGAGGCCCACCTTCCAGTGGAAAACGAAGCTGCAGGAAGAAAAAGCATGAAAATCGTCACTTGTACGGTCGTAGAGTTCTTATCGGGGAATCAGCTGTGCGGATGAGAGGCGTAGCGTTGGAGATGACGTTCAGTGGGCACGTACAAACTGGAATGGAATGGGTTCTTACTAGGACAGTTGGCACGCTTTTCCGCTTTTTCCTCACTATCGATTTACTCAGAACCTTGTCGTTTATATGCAAACTCCTAATCCACTATCTGTAATTGAGAATGATCGCGGGTTTCTTTAATATCCACTTCCTTCCGTGGAGAGCACAAGAGAGAAACTGATGGTGAGATATCTTTCCTAATCACATTACCTGCAGGTGAAACGAAGTCTGAACCAACCATTTCTTCCAATTAATTGGTTTTCCATAGTAAAGCTCACTGTAGTGAAGAAAAAGCAGAAAAGCAAGCCCGAGCTGCCCCGTATGGCAAACCCGTGCCACTGCGTTCGTGCGTGCATAAGGCAAAAGGCGTGGTCAATGAGTTCACTTGATGGTGCCAGCTCCTTCTCCTTAGCACGTCACTCAAACCATTCGAAGTGGCGAGAGTTAGTAGTGGAACAACCGCACCACCAGGTAGCAATGAAAAAGGGAAGTTGGGCGTCAAAGTGGCCTGTAGGCGGGGCCGTGGCCTCGTCAGCAGCCAGTCGCGCTTTCCTCACGTATTTTTGATCTGCGAAATTAACCTATATCCTCCATCCTTGTGCGGAGGGCTACCATATTCGAAGAAGGCGTGGGAACATCAAATGAACGCGAGCTCTACCTTTAAAGACACATAGTACGCTCACACACATTGAGGGTGTATGAGACTATCAGCCCCCCAGCTGTCGATGTGTCGTGGTCCCCCCGCCCAAACATGCCCAGGAATGGAGATACAGGACCGTGAAACACGCTAATTCCTCCATGCTCCGCCTTACACCTTTTTGCGGCGCAGATTCCCGTCCTTCATAACATCCGTCGTAAGCGCGTCGCGTGCGGCTCCTTGGCACTTTGCCAAGTCCTTTAATTGCGCTCTCAAATACAAGTAAAACGCAATTTCCTGATGCGGATAACATTGGAGGTGCTACAAAATAAGAACAGAAGATGATGACGAGGGCCAGAACTCGAAGAAT